GAGGCCGCAGCCTTCCAGGCGACTCCAGGGAGCAACACATTAGAACGTATCGATTCTGGTTCACTTCTTAGAAAAACAAATAAACACAGTCACAATAAGTCCTTCAGGTCACAGAGCTGTTTGCCACTGCATTATGTATAGCAGTGATAATTTGGTATCGCCCTGACTCTCATTTGCAGGAACTACTTGAATTACTATCCTACCACGCGATAGGATAGTATGCGGCGGCTATAAAGGAAGGAGATCTACATTTATTGGCATTTCCATGACATACATTTGAGTGGGGGTAAAAAAAAACAAAAACAAAAACCACAGCAAAACAGGTTATAAGAAACTCATGTATGGCTCCAAGTATGGTTTCCTGATTCATTGCAGTAGTATCACCTAATCTTTAACACAATTCCCAGGTGATTCCTGTGCAGGTTACAGGCTGGAAGGAGATGAAGTATGGCTTTGTCTAAGGAGTTCAGTAAAATATTATTACCTCTGCAGGTGGGACTGGGGTTTGCTTTCCTTCTTGTGCTTTTCAGAACTGTTGGTATGTTTTTATGAGCACATCTTAGAAAAACAATAAAGCTATTAAAATGTTTGCAAAGATGTAAGATCAAAAACTATAAAATTCCTAAAAGAAAACATAGGTAAATAGCTTTGTGACACTGGACTTGGCAATGATTTCTTTGATGTGATAACAAAAACAAAAATAGACAAATGGAACTACATCAAAACTGAAAATTTTGGTGCATCAAAGGACACATGAACTGAGTGAAAATGCAACGTATGGAATAGAAGAAAGTATTTGAAAATATGATAAGGAGGGTACTTCTAGAGGCCTGGAATTTTTATATACCTAGATATATAAAGAAATCCTACAACTCAACAACAATAACAAAAAAATCAAATAACCTGACTAAAAAAATGGGCAAAGGACTTGAATAGATATTTCTCCAGTGATGATAAACAAATGACCAACAGACATATGAAAAGATGCTCACTAATCATCAGAGAAATGCAAATCAACATTACAATGAGATACCACCTCATATCCATTGAGATGGCTACTACCAAAAACACAGAAAATAACAACTGTTGGCAAGGATGTGGAGAAATCGGAGCCCTCATGAACTGTTGATAGGATTATAAAATGCTGCAATTGCTATGAAAAACATAGCAATTTGTTTTTCAGAAGAGCTGAGGGTGGAAGTTCCTCAAAAAATTTAAAGCAACATTCCCATATGATCCAGCAATTGCACTTCTGGGTATGCACCCTTAAAAATTAAAAGTATGGTCTTGAAGAGATATTTGTAAACCCAGGTTCATAGCAGCATTATTCACAATCGCTAAAACATGGAAACAACTCAGGTGTTCATCAACGGGTGACGAGATTAACAAAATGTGGTCCATAAACAATGAAATGCAGGGGTGGGCCAAAGTAGGTTTACAGTTGTTTATATGGAACAATATAATACAAGAATAAAGTGTATTTTATGTACTCATAACTGTAAACTTACTTTGGCCCACCCCTGTGTATTATTTGGCCTTAAAAAGGAAGAAAATTCTGATGGCTGCTACAACATGGATACATTTTTAGGATGTTATGCTAAACAAAATAAGCCAGACACAGAAAGGCAAATATGATTCCACTTGCATGAGATGCCTGGGTAGTTAAATTCATAGAAACATACAGTGGAATGGTGGTTGCCAGCAGCTGGGGGTTGGGGGAGAAAGTGGGAGGGTCATTGTTCAATGGGTACAGAGTTTAAGTTTTACAAGATGAAAAAGTTCTGGAGATCTGTTTTCTAACAATGTAAATGTACTTAATACCGATGATTAAGATATGTCTTTAGAGATTTTAATGATCTGAGAAGGCAGAAAAACAAGGAAGCTGGGAAGTGCTGGCTCTTGGGAAAGAGGAAAGGGAAGGTGTGGCTACAGGGAAGGGAAGATGGGGGGACAGGTAGGTGATAGAGCCAGGAGTGGGGGCTTGGACACGGTGAGAGAGTCCTGGGCCAGAATGTAAACGTATGTATGACAAGCAATGGGCACCCAGAACGCTTCAGAGCAGGGACTGGCCTTTCCAAATAGCTGCCAAGCAAGTCCACATCTCTTTGGCCTTTCAAACTCACTACCTTGACTTCAGCTTTGCTAACTGCAAACACATCCACCTCCCCATCCCCCAAGATGACCCCAAGGGGGACTGTCTGGCTGACACTGAGCCTTTCCTGGCCAGGATGCTCAGAGAGCACGCTCCCAGCAGCCCTGGGAAGCTCAAGAGGTAGGTTCCCACGCTGAATGCAGCCCCGATCACAGGGGACACCAACCCCCCAGTTGTGGGACGTGGCCCTCATGCACAAGTGTGTAGGAGAGCTGGAGCCCAGAAAGCCCCAGGGATTGTCACAGGCCTGAAGGCCATGGTTCTCAGAACTCCATGGAGTCCCTTGGGGTCAAAGGGTCAGACTGTCCATTTCAGAGATGACTCTTCCTTCAAGGCTGGGTCATGGAGGGCCACCAGGCAGTATTGCCTGGGCAGGGTGGAGGGGCAGGGAATGGTGGGGTGTTGCAGCCTCCAGAAACATTTTGGACCCCCAGGAGAGAGTTGTAAGAAGCCTACCTGCCCTGAGCCCTCACCTGAGGGAGGAAGCCCATCTACACTGATGGAGGAGGCACTAGGACCAGAGCCCCAAAGCCCCAGGCCCCAGCTCCCAAGCCTGGCTCCTTCACACCAAGCCTACCCTGAGAATGCTCCTTTCTGCATTTATCTATTTTGGGTCCCATCAAAGCCACTGAGTTGGGGTGGGAGGCTGGGGGCATTCCAGGCGTCCACCAACATACCCCACCCTCTAAAGCTGCCAGAACAGGCATCCCCAAACCTACCTAAACCCCCACATCCTTGAGATGAAGTCCCAATTCTCATTTGACCTCCAGGGTTCTTTGAAACTTGGTCTCCGCTGAGTCTTCTCTTTTCCTCTCCCTCTCTCCCATTCCCTTCAGCCAGCCCTGCAGCCCTCTGAAACTTTCAAAATGCCCTTCCCCAAATTCGACTCAGCTTTTGCACTAGCTACTCCTGCCTCTTTCTCTCTGCCTAATGGATCATTCTTCCTTAAGCAGGGAGCTGTCCCGAAGTGACCAGGCAGCCTCAGTCACAGCTCACTCGGCTTCCACGAGATGGGCTGTGGCCCTGTATCAAGAGGAGAGAGCCTTTCTTAGGGGTCTCTTCCCAGTTCCCAGCACTATGGCATGGCCAGCCACACTGATCAATGTTGATCAAGAAAACGAACACGTGAGTTTTCTGTCTGTCTTTTATGGCTAATTCTGGTTCCTTCCCAAAGGCTCTGGAATATGGCCTTGACCTTCCACAATGGGTTCCTAAGTGTCAGCAGCTTCACCTAAGAAGCTGATGAAGTGTCAGCAGCTTCACTTTATCTTATATAGTTCTTTGATACAGGTATTAACATTTCCATTTTACAGATAAAGAAATTGATGAGCGGACTAATGCCTGCCCACTGCAGGGAATTGGTGCAACCAGGATTGGAACCCGGCCTGACCAGCCTGTGCTCATTCTGCTGTGGCCTCCCAGCAATCTATGGATGGGGAACAAAAGGTGTGCCCACAGACTTCTGCGGAATTCTCTACTCCGTCCAGGGGTTCCTTAAACCTGTGCTTTGAAGAAGATGGTTAAGAGATGGGAAGAATGGCATCCAGACCTGATGGCAGTAGGGAGGCCAAGAGTTTGGGGACCTTTAGGAAGAGGCCAGCCTAGCCAGAGACAAAGAGACAAAAAAAATCTTGGCTGGATAAGAGAGGGGCCAGAGAAACTCAAGACGACCTTCTCAATCCTGCCCAGTTTATGCAGTGACCCAGAGAAAGCCCAAGGCTTGAAAAAGACTTCCAGGGGGGCTAAGGAAGTGCTTTACACTCTCTCTACCTTTCCTGTACTCCTAAGAAGCTTTCTAATCGGTATTCTGTATGTGAACTAATTGAAGTTATTAGGTGAGAAATCAAGGTCAGGCATCTGCCTTCAGAGGTCAAGCCTTAACCACTGTTCATGGCCTCCATATCCTTTCTGAAAAACATCCCCAGAGGAGGGAAAAAGTTCCCCACCGCCCCCTCATACCACCATAGTTCTGGAAATTAGGAAATTAGTCTCATAATTCCTATGAGTACGCTGACCCCATGTGTAACATGAGCTAAGTTACAACAATGTTCTTGCCCTTTGCCCCAAGTATTCATTCTGGATGGGAAATAAAACCCAAGGAATGGGGGGAAAAAATCTAAAAGACTAAAAAAAGTTATTTGTTCAAAGTTGTCCATACAAGTGAAATTATTAATTACAAAATACCTGAAAGCAAATCAACTTTACAATTGAGGGACAAAGGGCATACATCTTGGGATGGGTTTGTTAATGGGGCAAATACCACATTGACCTTAAAAATGACAGTTAGTTGGTTTATTTTGTTCATTAAAATAAGTGCAAACTGTAAAAGCAGAACATTTTAATTTAATTTCAGAACACCATCTAAATAAGAAAGGCTCACCGATGGCATTTTATTTTTTCCTTTCTTTTCAAGAATATTAAATCAATTTTGATGAGGTAATTCGTGCACATGGTAAATTCAGGCACATAATTAAGGTCTAAATATCTAAAGCAATATATGAAGGAGCAGCATCCAGTAACCCATGACAACCGTTTAAGAACGTGGGTTTGTCCATTTACAAACCTCGGAAAAGAACACAGAGATTAGTAACTTGCTTTATGGTTATTTGGGTTTGTTATTTATTTATACATTTTTTTTTTCCTGTAAGGCTGATGAAAGCAAAGGCTTAAAAATGAAGAAACGCAGGGCAGAAAGTTCACAACATTTCTCTAAGACATAGCTCAGAGCTTCTTGTCTAGGACCAAGTCTAGCTCAAACCCTTCTTGCTGTGATCTGTGAAGGAAGCAGCTACATCAGGTGGAGAAATCAGCAAAGAAAACCGTGAGAGAAAATCGACTGCCTTCTTACCTGTTCACGTACCAGAAGGCAACCTTCTAGAGCCTTGCCGACGGTGTCAAGGGGCTCCAGGGCCCAGAACGGGTGCCTGGGGGTAGGGGCAGTGGGTGCCAGGTGGGAGAGGCTGCGGCTTCCTCCAGCCCCCAATCAAGGCTTCCCGGCTGATGAGAAGGGCGGGGAAAAGCAGGCCGCCGCCACACGAGTTAGAAACTGGAGCCAGCAAGGGCGGGGCGGGGCCACGTGTCCCCAGGCTGCTTTAGAGTGAGGAGTAGGAGGGGGCCACAAACCCACAGGATCAACTGTTAACGATTCTGACCGAAGGCGCTGCTTGTTAAGATAATGGTGGGAGTCCCAGTTGGGGCCACCCCAGCTCCTCTCCAGAACACAATTACTTTAACAATAGCAACAGAAAAACTTCTTACAAAACTTAAAATTGGGTGATGCTGTAGTGACCAGAGGGCATAGAGGGAACAAACATTAGATAGAAAAATGGCCTTTGATAAATACCAGTATTAAGGACCAAACAATTACCCAGTCGACATGGAGATGAGCCCAGAGAAAGGATGGAACCCAGGATCACACAGCCAGGCTTCCCCACAACACTCAGGGTCTTCCCTGGTGTAACATGTGGTCTGACACAGCACTTGCGGGAGTTCCGGAGGACACAGGAGAAAGGCCCTTTGCTCGGCCCGATTCCCAAGGACAAGAGCACTCTCACTTTGCATGGGTCAGAGAAGTGCTGAGGCCGCTCTGCCCGGAAGAATTCTGTGGGCACTGAAGAGGCAGCTCCATCTCCACCTGGTTTTCGTAGCAAGCTCTCCCAACTTCCTCAAGACTGTACTTGGAATGAGGGAAGGGCCGACGTCCCAAGGGACCCTTTAGCTTCCCCCACTAGTGGATATTGCGAGTCAGGGGCAGAGAAAGGGCTGTGTTCAAGGCCTCAAACTATCCACCCTGGCTGGTGCAGCTCAGTGGATTGACTGCGAACCTAAGGGTCACTTGTTCAGTTCCCAGTCTAGGGCACAGGCCTGGGTTGCAGACCAGACTCTCAGTGGGGGGACATGAGAGGCAACCACACATTGATGTTTCTCTCCCAGTTTTTCCTTCCCTAAAAATAAATAATTTTTTTTTAAAAAAGCATCAAACTATCCAACAAAATAGTTTGCAGTGTTTCCCTGAGTATAAACAGGATCCTTTACTAAGGGGCCCCTTATTAATAGCTCAGGTTCCACAGCACCTGGTTGTGGAAATGCTGAACTAGATGTTAGCATATCTTACTCGGAAAATCGATGCCTGGCAAAAGCAGTTGGTCAAGAAATGGTTTCTCAATTGGACTGACAACACTGGATTCCTGGTTCAGCCCTGAACTTCCCGGCAGGACAATAATGCCCACACTGGAATGCACTTGGCTAATTCCCCACCCCCGGCCCCAAGACAGTAGCTATACTGGCCACACCCTCTGCAAGGCCACTGAATAGCTCTGTCAAATTGATTCATACCAGTCAGGCAGCCAGTGAGTGGGAGGGCAAGAGGGGGTGGAGGCAATGGGGGAACAGCCATAGGATCTCACTGGGACCTCACAGAAGCCTGAGCAAACGCTGTGCCTTCTCTGGGACCTCTGGTTTAGAGTGATTTCCCTGTCTTTCAGAGCATTGCATATAGGACTGCAGTTGAAGATGGAAGTGGCTCCAGGTCTCCCCAGGCTGCTGCACCCAAGTTCAGTGGCCACACCTCCTGTTACCATGACCCTGGATGTTGGTTTACAGACAGGAAACGGAGACCTTGCTTAGAGATTGGTGAACTTAGGTCACTTGACTCTATCCAGGGCTCTTTCTATGGTCTTCCCTCCTACCTGGCATTTAGCACATGGGATCTTGTTTCTGATTGGCCTTTTTACAGTTGCAGCATCAGCTTCTTAAAAGCAAGAGATTCCTTAACGTGCCTGGTAACAGCATTAGGCCCTAATAACCTACAGTCAACGGTAATACGTCTCTTGATTATTGCATGCCACTAGCTTATACACTACATTTATTCATGGACCAAATTAACTTGTGACTGCTTCCCAAATGACCTACGCAAAGGCAGCTCTCATTCCCTGAGATTTCATTTGCAATCAGAGAAAGAAACACGTTCTGCTGGGTGGGCCTGTGCATTGAAAATTTGATGACCAGGTTCAGTGAGCTCACAGCAGCTAGGCCTTGGCTCACTCCTTTCCTATAATGTTTCTATGGAGCCAAAGCAGAACACCGCCTAATCTCTCTCCTGTTGCTTCTTCTCTCCTAGGCCCTTCTGTTTCACATTCCCAGCTTTAATAGATGCACTCTCAAAATAAAATCAAAACGACGACAAGCAGGTTCTAGAAGGCGGAGACAGTGGTGGGGAACTGAGATGGGTTTGCCCCTTGGATTACAACCAAACATGACTGCCTACGGCAGAGCTGCTGAATTTGAAGGGTGTGGGCGGGGTGGGGTGAGGAACAGGAGACTTCAGCTACTTCCAGGTGAGTCTCCCAACCTTTTGTCCCTAAACTGGATTTTTGGGGGGCTTCATTTTAAACATTAAGAAGCAATGATCCCTCATTCCCTATGATACCTAATTATTTCCAGGTCTGATCATTATCAACAGACTGTGAAATAATACAGACTGAAAAATACACAGATGACCAGCAAATTCTTAAGAGGAATCTGGGGCAGAACCCAGGAATCTGACAAACTCAGATGATCCTAATGTCCAGCTGGGGTTAAAAAAACCACTAAAGAGGTTTCCTGCAACTTTCTGCCCTAAAACCTTTGGCTGCTCACTCTCCACCTTATTTTTGATTTAGGACCTTCTGATTTTTCCTGGAAGTCCCAAGGGAAAATCTGTGTCTGTTTTATCTGAGGAAACCAGGGACATGAGCCTTAGGTTCTTCTGAACTTAATGTCAGTCTCTCTGACAGAGTCACCTCACCATCATCCTCAGGGGAAGAGAAACTGCTGGGTTGTAAGAACTCTCCTCCAACTTCTGGGTGCACGGCAGACTTGTGAGGAGGTGGCACATAGTAGGTACTCAGTAAATACTGCTGGAATAAATGACTGTATGTCCTGATGTTGGCTTTCGAAGCATCTATAGAAACAACTCCTGGTTGTGCTGCCCCAGACTGGTAAGTGAGCTTTGTCTTCCTGCTGTGTCATAGCCGTTGATTTCATTTCAGTTCACTCCAACTTCACACAAGCCCCACACATTGGGCTATCAGATTCCCAAATGTAAATATATCAGCCACCGACATGGAGGTGTCCACTGAATCCCTACCATGTAGCCCAGAGTAAGCCTCTGTCTCCCTACATTGATTTCAGCAGCAGAGATGGGTCTTCTGAGATCTAAATATAGTCCTTGAATATATTTTAAGGGTACAATAAACTTAAAATATTCACATATAATATTCCATATGTAAATGAGCAAGTGGATGATTCATGCAAACACGCACCATTTCTATTTTGAAAAGAAACAGAATTTAGAAATTAAAAAAAAAAATTGAGATCCAGGTTGATCCCATCTCTAGAATGCTCCCAACATTTCTGGCTTCTCACTAAATGAGAAACTCGAGAGCGGCCAGTTGTGGGCCTAACATGCCTTCTAGAGACGAGCACTTTCCTAGTGAGATGAGTGAACCCCCAAGAGCCTTTCAAGCCCTAACAGCTGTCTTGCTAGAAATACATTAAAAAAACCAAAAGAGCAACATTCCATCTACAGTCCAACTTGAACCCCCATCCTCCAAAGGAATGTTATTCTTGGCAAGAGATCCTCCAAAGGAAACAACATCTGTGGAACCCCCATCTGTGAGATCAGGGGAAAGCTGCGGCAGCTAAAACGTTTTCATCCCTTTATTAGACCCAAGTTGAAGGCACTCAACAGAGAAGCTGGATGGGAACAATCCGAATAAGCTAGCACAAATGCCTCAGTGTCTTGATATTGTCCCTTCAGAGTTCCATGGCAGCTTCTGATGTGTTCTGCAAGGCAGGACAGTTCCCCCTTTACCTGGCTGCTCAACTAAACCATAGGAGTTGATTAGTTCCCCTTAACACCTGCATAGATAGGATTGGTCATCTAGCCTCATCCAATCACTTATAGCTATGATGTACCCTTTGTAGGTCCTGGGGCAACAGCTATGAACTAGATAAAATTCCTGCTTTCAGCCTATTCAAACTTAATTCCTGGTGCTTGTGGTCTAGAGAGTCCACTTACCAGACCCTCTCTCTCTTGTAGAGAACAAGCAAATTCATGGATGGGTATGCAGAGGAAGCTCAATGGAAACAAGTCCTGGATATGACATCTAAAGCATACGCAACAAAAAATAAGCAAGTGGGACTACATCAAACTAAAGAGCTTCTTTCTGTACAGTAAAAGAAAAAATCAACATGATGAAAAGACAACCTATAGAATAGGAAAAATCATTTGCAAGTCGCATATAAGGGGTTAATATCCAAAACACATAATGGACCCATGCAACCCAATTGCTAAATAAATAAATAAATAAATAAATGTTTAAAGTCCAATTAAAATGGGCAAGGGACCTGAACAGATATTTTTTCAAAGAAGATATACAAATAGTCAACTGAACCTCATTAGTCATTAGGAAAATTCAAATCAAAACCACAGTGAATTATGACCTCATGCCTGTGAGAATGGCCATCAACAAAAAGATGAAATAAATGCTGCTGAGGATATGGAGAAAAGGGAACTCTTGTGTACTGTTGTTGGGACTGTAAACTGATATAGTCACTGTGGAAAACAGTTTGAAGGATCTTAAAATATTAAAAATAGAACTACCATATGATCCAGCAATTCCACTTTTGGGAATATATCCAATGGAAACAAAAACACTAATTAGAAAAAGATATCTGTACCCACATGTTCATAGCAGCCTTATTCATAATAGCCAAGACCTAGAAACAACCTAAGTGGCCACTGACAGATGAATGGATGAAGCTATAATATATATATGTGCAATTAAATATTGAGACATTAAAGAAGAAAAAAATGAAGGAAATCCTGCCATTTGTAACAACATGGATGGACCTTGAGGGCATATCCTAAATGAAATAAGTCAGGAGACA